ATGTGGTCCAATCAAATGAATGATAGGTACGATACCCCATATTTTAGAAAGGCATCAAAGTTGTCACCTTTAAAAAATGCGGGTTATTCATCATTGTGAGTCACAAAATGGTGTTTGTTATTCTTCCACCGCTATTACTCTAAAAAACCAACACGTCAACACCCATGACATTTGAAAGTGGATTAATAAATCTGAAAGCATGACACCTCATGCGGCCCCAACATCGACTCGACAATTAACAGAAAATTAAAATTTGAACTTTCATCACAAACTAACAGATAGCGAGTAGGAGGCATGGAGCTCTAGACCAGATCCTTGCAAATGTCACAGTTGTCAGGATTTGAACTCAAAACTTATCCCGTATAACATTCCTTATTTACCGATTGAGCTACGTCACTGCCAAATATGACCCTAGTAAAATCAAAACGATAGTGAAGTGGTTATGTTTTGAGCTATCAGTGGCGGAGCAAGAAATGATATGTTAAGAAGGCCGGAGCTTAAAGAATTTATATAATGGACATCACCGTGTCAAAGTTTAAATTTTCACTATCACAATTTTTTTCTTGTAGGGGCCTCCAGGCTCCAAACTCCCCCTTCTCCACCCCTGTGCGCTCTGATAAATTTTATATTAAGACTATTTGATATCTACATAATACACACTCATCTTTGCTTTGGATTGATAGTACTCATTCAATCCCTATTTTTCTTATTTTGAATATAGTTTGTTAACTTTGACCATGTGTTATGGCTGAACGATATTGCGTTATAACATCAAAAATGTTGTGCAACTCTATGAGCGTGTTTAATACATAAATCGATTGAATACGTCTAATGAAATACGGAGTAGATGTCATTGATAAAATTAAAGAAAAATTAGATGAAAATAGTAAAATATACCTTTTTTTAAATCTCATCCACAAAAGTAACCCCGATCTCACATCTTACTAGTTTCATTTATATACTTCCTCCGTTCTTTTTTATTAGTCCTTCTTTCTTTTTTGGGACGTTTTTTTTATCTGTCCTCCTTTTCATTTAAGGAAAGTTTTCACTCTAAATATACCTTTATACCCCAACTTTTATTACCATTACCCCTTTCTCTTTCCTACTTTTTCATTTACCCACTACCCATTACACCTTTTACACTACCCCGACTACTTTCCTCTTAAAACCTGTGTTAAAGCCTAAGAGGACTAATATTAAAGAACGGATGGAGTATTACGCACTTTAGTTTGCTCAGTTAAATGTTAAATACTTTCATCCCATAAAATTCTCCATACTTACAATTTTGTGATGTTCCAATTTTTTTCTCATTTCCTTTTTAGAAAGTTTTGCATGTTGATAAATTCAGTCCCAATTAAGGATGTAATCCCACAAAACATGATAAATTTCAGAATCAAACACATCGAAGAACACTAACCAGTCGGGGAGAAACCAAACTTTGATTGTGTTGTAGAAGATGATGAAGCCATAGCCATGGATGTGTGGATTCTCTAAGGATACAAACAACAATCCGATGGATTTCTAAGTCTCCCTTGGGTCTCTTATTATAGGTGTTCTTGTGACCCTTGGGAGGAGACACACCCCTTCTCATTTGTCGTAAGAATGGAACGAGCGGTCATTTATGTTTTGTATCAAAGAGAAACCCAATTGGCCCCTTATGTATTATTTAATGTTAAAACATACCCATCATATGTTAACTATACATAAATAAAGAGACCAAATATGTCATATGGCAAACTTAATGGTAAGACATAAATGTCCCCAATTTATATTAAATTATATAAATGGTCCAAGGGCACTTAAATGGAATATTTTCCAACATTCTCCCACTTGACCTTGAGATCATTTATACAATTATACATAAGTTAAAGTATTAGTTGGCCAAAAAAAAAATTCATCTTACTCCATAATAATATCAAAGCAAACAAATACAGTCTAACGGGTCAATATAACCCGGGACCCCATTAATCATACTTTGACACTTCTTAAAGAGTATAAGGATTAATATAAGCCAAATGACATTAAACTTAGGGTATTATGTTTGTCTATTAAAATAACTTTGTGTGCACAATGAAGAATAGACAAAACATACTTAGAGAGGAATTTTAAATCAAGTACTTGAAATTAATACATAAGATAGTTATTCAGGCACTGCGCTATAATTTCCTAAACAGGATCTTTCATCAAGCCCATATTAGTGACATGTCTTTGAAAAATACTGGGCGGAAGTCCTTTAGTGAGAGGATCTGCTAGCATATTATTCGTGCTGATGTGTTCGATACAAATTTCGTTTTCCTCCACTCTTTCTCGAACGAACAAATACTTTGTATCGAGGAACAATCCCGCTCCACTCGAACTGTTATTGTTTGAGAAGCTCACGGCCGCGGAATTGTCACAATAAATCCTTAGCGGTCTTGAGACAGAATTTACTACTTTGAATCCTTTGATAAGATTCCTTAGCAACATCCCATGACACGTTGCGTTGTACACCGCAACATATTCAGCCATCATTGTTGAAGTAGTCGTAAGTCTTTGCTTGTGGCTTTTCCAAGATATTGGCCCACCTGACAGCAAGAAAATGTATCCCGAAGTAGACTTCCTATCATCTTTGCACTTAGCAAAGTCAGAATCGGAATATCCCACCACTTCTGAATTATTAGACCTCTGGTAAGTAAGTTTGTACTCTTTAGTCCCTTGAAGATACCGCAAAACTTTCTTAGCGGCTTTCCAATGATCTAATCCTGGATTAGATTGATATCTACCCAACATGCCGGATACATATGCGATATCTGGACGAGTACAAACTTGAGCATACATCAGGCTTCCAACTACAGAAGCATAAGGAATGAGTTTCATTTGCTCTTTCTCAACCTCGGTTTTTGGGCATTGGAATGACCCAAAAACGTCTCCCTTAACTACTGGAGCAACTGATGGAGAGCATTGTTGCATGTTAAAACGTTCTAAAATACGCTCAATGTATGCCTTTTGGGACAAACCTAACGTCCCTTTGACTCGATCTCGGTGAATTTCAATGCCTATAACATAAGAAGCTTCACCTAAATCTTTCATGTCAAAATGGCCAAATAATAAGCGTTTTGTTTCATGCAATAAATCCAGATCACTACTTGCTAATAAGATGTCATCAACATATAACACAAGTATGATGAATTTGCTCCCACTCATTTTGAGATAAGTGCATTGATCTACTTTGTTTTTAATGAAGCCATTTGATTTCATGACTTCATCAAATTTGAGGTACCATTGTCGAGACGCTTGCTTGAGCCCATAAATAGACTTCTTGAGTTTACACACTAGATGTTCTTGACCCTTAGAAACATGACCTTCTGGTTGTATCATATAAACATCTTCGTGTAAATCTCCATTTAAGAAGGCTGTTTTGACGTCCATTTGATGTAGCTCAAGATCAAAGTGAGCTACTAAAGCCATAACGACCCTTAGGGAGTCCTTTCGAGAGACAGGTGAAAAGGTCTCTTGATAATCTACACCTTCCCTCTGAGTGTAGCCCTTAGCAACCAATCTTGCTTTGTATCTTTCAATGTTTCCATTTGGATCTAATTTAGTTTTAAAGACCCACTTGCTTCCAACGGGCTTATGACCCTTTGGTAATTCAACAAGTTCCCAAACATTGTTCTTCTCCATGGAAAGAAGTTCTTCATTCATGGCTTCTTTCCAATAAATCGATTGGTCACAATTAATGGCGTCATGGAAAGATACAGGATCTACGACTTTCCCTAAATCAAAGTCGGCTTCTTCATTTAAATATATCAAATATTCGTCAAAATTTGTGGGGCGTCTCACCCTTTGAGATCTCCTTAAGTATTGCTGATTTTCCGGAATTTCATTAGAAACAGGTGGAGATGGTTCAACATTTATTGAAGTTTCATTCGCCTCTTGACTTGTTGCATCATTATTATGAGGCGTATGACTTTCACTATGATCTTCAAGTGAAGAGTTAGGTAGAATGGGCAGTATAAAAAGTGGATTCATTCCATCACCTTCTTGAAGTTCATCATTAATGTTTGAACCATTACTACTCCCACTAATGTTAGTATTCTCAAGGAATTCAGCATGTCGGGTCTCGACAATCCGGGTAGTATGAGATGGGCAATAGAACCTATATCCCTTAGATCTCTCGGGATAACCAATAAAGGAACAACTAATAGTTCTCATGTCAAGTTTCTTCAATTGAGGATTATACACTTTTGCTTCAGCCGGACAACCCCACACTTTTAGGTACCGTAGACTAGGCTTCCTTCTCGTCCATAACTCATATGGAGTTTTAGGAACAGATTTAGATGGTACTCTATTCAATATGTGGGTTGCTGTTTTAAGGGCCTCGGTCCATAAAAATTGGGGAAGATTTGAGTTAGCCAACATACTTCGGACCATATCCATAAGAGTCCTATTCCGCCTTTCGGCAACCCCATTTTGTTGAGGGGTGCCAGGCATGGTATATTGGTTGATGATCCCATGTTCTTTACAAAATTCATGGAAAGAACCGGGAGCTTGACCAATATCAGTGTGTCGACCATAGAACTCACCACCCCTATCCGATCTCACTACTTTGATCTTTCGATCAAGTTGATTTTCAACTTCGGCTTTATAAGCCTTGAACATATCTAGTGATTCGGATTTTTCCTTAATCAAATATAGGTACATATAGCGTGAGTAATCATCTATGAAAGTAATAAAGGAGTTATGACCACTAATGGAATCGGGAAAAGGCCCACAAATATCCGTGTGTATTAATTCTAACAAACCGGTGCTTCGCGTGGCGCCTTTCTTAGTTTTCTTAGATAATTTCCCTTTCAAACACTTCACACATTTGTCATAATCTGAGAAGTCAAGATTTGGAAGAATGCCGTCTTTCACGAGTCTTATCATTCGATCTCGTGATATGTGGCCCAACCTTTGATGCCACAAATTGGACGACGATTCCAATTCTCTCTTTCTCTTGCAAGGATTTTCAGTTATATTAAATGACAATGGGGATTCCATAAAATTAGTGTCTAAGCATAACTTATAGAGGTTTCCCTCCATGCTACCAAATCCTATTACATTTGAGTTCAAGCTTATTGTCACTTTATTGTATACGAAATTAAATGTAAAACCATCAGCACTTAGTTTCGATACAGACACTAAATTACGAGTAATATTAGGTACATAAAGAGCATCACGAAGATGAAGAATGAAGCCATTCTCTAAAATTAATGAGATAGTTCCAATGGCCTCCACTTCTAATTCTTCTCCGTTGCCCACCTTAATCACTCTTTGCTTTCTTCCCAATGTCCGGATTGAATGGAATCCCTGCAGTGTGTTTGAAACATGAACCATTGAACCAGAGTCAATCCACCAAGTATTAAGGGGAACTGATGTGTTCAATGACTCATAAATAACATAAGTGGTTAAGTTACCTTTCTTAGTCAACCATGCCTTAAACTTAGGACACTCCCTCTGGTAATGCCCTTTGAAACGGCAAAACTTACAGTAGGGACCAGAGTTCACGCTTGCACCTATCTTTGGGACCTTAGAAATGTTACCTTTTCCTCCTCCTTGACGGATGCCTTTCCTTTTCTTTGAGTTTGTGGTGGTGAGATGAGCAACATCTGGTCTTTCAGCTTTAAGGCGCTCTTCTTCTTGAACACACATAGCAATCAACTCGCTCATTGTCCACTTCTCTTTCTGCGTGTTGTAATTGATCTTGAATGGACCATAAGACGCAGGTAGAGAAGTCATTATGAAATGAACGAGGAAACCTTCACTGATCTCCATGTCCATACTTTTGAGCTTGTTAGACATATCAGACATTTTCATGATGTGCTCACGAATACCACTTACTCCATCATACTTACTCGTCAACATTTTGAGAATTAGGGTACTGGCATGTGCTTTAGAAGTGCCCTTAAATTGTTCTTCCACATATTCTAGGTAGGTCTTCGCATTTTCAGAGTCAGGAATGGCTCCGCGAATGGCTACAGATATGGAATTCTTAATCACCATGAGGCACATTCGGTTGGACCTCTCCCACTGTTCATAAGAACGCTTCTGTTCCACAGTGCTTTCATCATTAGGAGCACTTGGTGGATCCATTCTCAGTGCTTGGTCGAGATCCATCATGCCAAGTGAGAGTTTTATAGATTCTCTCCATGTTGAAAAGTTTGTGCCATTTAGAGGTTCTATCCCATAATTGTATGGGGTAACAGTAGATGCTGAAATAAAAGGTTTAACAGAGGCAATAATAGAAGCTATTTATAATATATAAGGGAATACAATAAGGCGTGTCAATTATTAGTAAATAAGCCTATTATCAACACCAAATAATAGGAAAATTCATATCGTGTTTAATAACTAACATTGCGTTGGCTAATGCTAACTATCAAACATTATGATATTAAAATTAAAATTAGGCTGCAAATATGTCATATATCACCTTTGGGCAGAAATATAACACATTCATTTATGCTTAAATTTCATTACATAAGTTATCAAATAACACACCTTTGGGTTTGTTAAAAGAAAACTCATATAATTGTTTAAGATAGTCAAAATCAATAATCTTCCGTTGGGCCGATCATTGAATTTGACATTAAGATCATTAATCAATAATCCATACTAAAACTTGGAATATGGAAGCAAATATTCATAAACAAATTTTACATCATATATTTGCATTTGTTATAAGTCAAAATCTGCAGATTAGTAACAGACTATTCAAACGGCTCAAATTAACAAATTTCCAGAATGGTATAATCAGTTTGTGTATAAGTATTCCTAACGAATTGTATACCAGCACTTAGGATAATTTTACACATTCGGGAAAAATTGAATGTCTTAACAGTTAACACACGAACCATGTGTATAATTAATAACTGATAGATGCATATCCGTTTATCATATCAAAATTTAGTGGTCTGCGTTTGTTAATCTTAATCAAGCAGACAAAATAATATCTACTCTGCATTAGACTGAATATACATTAGAGTGATTCTGCAAATTTATGATCTACAACCAAACTTACGATTGGATATCATTTTATCAAAATTTAATGGTATGTCATGTTCATCCTAATCAAACAAAGTAATATGCACTTCTAATGGCAGATAATATGTACTTTAGTTCATTCATACGTGCTAAGAAAGTTTTGCAGGTGCAAAAGCAAATTGATGCATCATTGGTTTATTAATTAATAATTGCAATTTCAGTTTTATTTTAAACCACCAAAAGGCAAACAAACAGATTCACATCAAAGGTGAATTTCAGTTTTAAACAAATTTGCAGTTGCATATAAACTAAAAATTTGTTTCCAAATCGTTCCTATGCAAACATATGGGAATCAAATAAAAGGCGAACTAGGAAACAAAGCCAACATTAAAAAATATGTTCATATACATTACGTTTGGTGATATACTGGTGTCGATGCTACAGGAAAATAAATTTCAAGTGCCGCAGACTTTCCGAAAACTTAATCGGATCAGTTTAAACTCAAAAATCATTTAGGCAGATTGAAAACTTCAAAATTTTATCAACGTAAAGTGAGAATTAACTGCTCTGATACCAAATGTTGATAAATTCAGTCCCAATTAAGGATGTAATCCCACAAAACATGATAAATTTCAGAATCAAACACATCGAAGAACACTAACCAGTCGGGGAGAAACCAAACTTTGATTGTGTTGTAGAAGATGATGAAGCCATAGCCATGGATGTGTGGATTCTCTAAGGATACAAACAACAATCCGATGGATTTCTAAGTCTCCCTTGGGTCTCTTATTATAGGTGTTCTTGTGACCCTTGGGAGGAGACACACCCCTTCTCATTTGTCGTAAGAATGGAACGAGCGGTCATTTATGTTTTGTATCAAAGAGAAACCCAATTGGCCCCTTATGTATTATTTAATGTTAAAACATACCCATCATATGTTAACTATACATAAATAAAGAGACCAAATATGTCATATGGCAAACTTAATGGTAAGACATAAATGTCCCCAATTTATATTAAATTATATAAATGGTCCAAGGGCACTTAAATGGAATATTTTCCAACATTGCATGGTTAATGCTCGTTTAATTTCTCACTTAAGCACAATCATATATGTTCATTTTATTTTCATTTTCTTAATAAGTGCATCAAGTCTATAATAAAAATACTTTATTGATAATGCGGGTAATCAAAATTACGAATTACTAAACATGCTCTATATTCCAAAATCATAATTCATCGTTATTATGATTTTGGAAATTGGAATATAAATACGCCATATATTATTATAAATACATAATGATAATGATGGTAAAAAAATTAATGCAAACATTGAGAATTAAATAATTAGCTAGAAATTTCACCATATATATAGAGGTAGTCAGGGATGGATTTAGGGGGGGGGGGGGCGATCGCCCCCTTTGAACTTTTAAATTTTTATAGTATATATATAATATTTTTATACTTTAGTTTGATATATATTTTGATATATATGTGTTCGCCCCCTTTATCTTTTAATTTTCAAAATTAATATATAAGCTCACATAATGTAATACTACACTTAATTGGAGATTTAAAATAAGTAAAATCTATTTTTTTATTACATAATTTAAAGAATTGAAGTAAATAATAGAACAACTCATTGTTTAAGACTTAAGACACATGTTATATTAAAAATTTTAGTTTTGTAATGTTTAATTATCTTTATTAGATAATTAGTACTCGACATGTAAAATATCAATGATATTAAATATCAGTCACAATAGTTAAACATTTTTTAGATGATGCAAAGTAAATCCAAAATGTAAATGTTTGTTGATACTAAATTACACAATCAATTTACTTCTTGCTTTAATTTGTTAAAATAATTTAGTGCATTGAGAATTAACTTTAACTTATATTAGTATATATATAATACTTTCATACTTTGGTTAGATATATATGTGTTCGCCCCCCTTATCTTTTAATTATCAAAATTAATATATAAGCTCACATAATGTAATACTACACTTGATTGGAGATTTAAAATAAGTAAAATCTATTTTTTTATACATAATTTAAAGAAATAAATAATAGAACAACTCATTGTTTAAGACTTAGGACACCTGTTATATTAAAAATTTTAGTCTTGTAATGTTTAATTATCTTTATTAGAGAATTATAGTTTTGTAATGTTTAATTATCTTTAATAGATAATTAGTACTCGATATGTAAAATATCAATGATATTAAATATCAGTCACAATAGTTAAACAGTTTTTAGATGATGCAAAGTAAATCCAAAATATAAATGTTTTTTTACACTAAATTGCACAATCAATTTACTTCTTACTTTAATTGGTAAAAACAATTTGGTGCATTGAGAATAAACTTTAATTTATTTTAGCATTAATACATACTACCTCCGTCCCTTTTATATTGGGACGGAAGAGGGTGACATGAGATTTAAGAAAAGTGGATTTGTATGTTTGATATTAATTAATAAAGTGAGAATAAAGTAAGAATGATTTTGAGCCACACAAATTTTACCAAATAAGGTATGAGAGTAAATAGGGATCCCAACATGGTAAAACGGGACATTAAAAAGGGGACGAAGGGAGTATATAATATGCACCATGTATATATGAATTAACAATACTACATATCATATTAGTCTAAAACGAATAATCTTATACATACTATTGTAATAATCTTAGACAAAAATTACAATTCAAAAAACCAATTCTTTATTCTGTTAAGATTCATGTAGTTAAACAAAGCATAAATTATTTAAAAAGCATCGGTCCATGTGTACCTTATAAACTCTTTATCTTCAAATAATTTGATAAAATGTGATATCATTTCTTATTTTCAAATAATTTTCTAGAGCACTAACAATTATTAAATCAAATTTATTTTTCCATTCTCTAAAATTAGAATTTAATATAATAGATTTAAATGTCATCGTGTATTTACTCATGAAATTTTTGAACAAAATCTCGCCGCAAAATCCTCCACTAGCGGCAAAAAAAATTCGTCCCCTACACTGAAGAATTTGAGTCTAAATTCGCCCTTAGACTCAAATTCTCGAAATTCAAAGATATTCAAAAAAGTAAGTTTAATATTAGTGGAGTCTTATCATTTCGATGGGGTTACTACTAGTAGTAATGGTAATAAAACAATACACACCTAAAATTGTCATGTCTAACTCGATATAGGTGTTAGAGAGAGACGGGTGCATATTTGTCATTTGCTGATGCAGGGCAATGCATAGAGTAATAAATAGCCCCAAATAAACAATAATTAAGAGGCTTAAACAAACTCAACGCTCCTCCGTCTTTTCTTTTCAAGGTAAGTGATGTAATCAAATAAAAAAAGCAACCACAAAAATATTCTTTTTTTCCTTGCAAAAATCCCAAGTGGGATAACTTGATCTTTTCCTCACAAACCCTAAATACTGTGCCTATCAATTATTTGGATGGAGGGTCTAATTTAGTAATTTCCCACATGTGCATAAAGATTGTGTCTTTATGCATCAAACCCATCATTAGTACTCCCCAAATTGCATGGAAGGGGTTTAAAGCTTAAACCAAATCTTAATAACACCCATCTCCATCAATGTACTATTCATGATATCTTCCTTCTAATTGTCTCATTATCACATAATAGATCATGCTCCTATTAATAATATTCCCTACTTCTGATAAGACATAATTTAACTTTTGCACTAAGAGGACCATTTAATTTAGGGAAAAAATTAAGAAAAAACAATTAGAGTTTAAGAAGAACAAACTAGGGAAGCAATTGAACAAGGATCATATTGATAAGAAGAACATATAGGCAGGCTATTCTCTACTATCCTCCTGATTAAATTCCGGGGAAGTTTTTTTTAATCAGCAGGTTTAGCACCACTAATTGTTTTTAAGGAAGACGGTGTTAATTAATTTAGGATATGGAAATGCGGCGGCGTAACGAGAACGAGCTAATCAAGAAGAATAATACGACCCATTAACGGCGGCGGCGGCGGCGAGAGGGGCGGTGACGCCGTTATTGTTTTCATTCTTCATGTCGAATTGGCAGGCGGTGGCTGTTCCGGCGGCGGTCGAGTCAAGATTTTGACTTTTTGCATTAAGTAAATTAAAATTCATACCATGAACATTGTCATTGTAGTTGAGGCCGCCGCCGGAGGCGGCGGCGATCCCATGATCCCTCTTGCCGGAAATGTTCTTGTTGTTGTGCATCCATACCTTAAAAACAACCCTCTCCACTCCGATGTCGCTGCAGAAGTTGTTGATCAGATCTTCGTCTCTCTTCTGAATCTTCCACCCAACCCTCTCGGCGAATTCGAACATTTTCTCCTTCTGATCTGCGGTGAATTTTGTCCGTATACGCTTTCTCCCGTTCAGATTTGACCCAGGCCCGCCGGAAATGTGGTCGGCGGAGGTAGGGGTGGTGGTGTTGGTGTCAGTCTGGTGGGGGCCCACCATTCCGGTACTGAGAGCTAGCAGGACGTGCGGCGCCGACGGGTAATACGACGAGGAGATCGGCGGCGGGGAAGGAGAACTCGGCGGGCTGCTGTGGGAGCCCTGCGGCGGCGGAGGGTGGTGGCGGTGGTACGGCTGGTACTCGATAGCCGGTACCACATCGGCACGGGAAAGAACCTCATCCGGATGTTCCCGGCGGTGGAAATTGCGGTGGCACCCACAAGCGGCGCATTTCAGGGAAGTCGGGTCGGACGGGTTGGCGGCGGGCGAGGGCATGAACTCGCCGCATCCGTCGACGGCGTGCCCGCCGAGCGGGGCGGCGTGGTTCTTGAGACACTCCCTGTAGTTGACCACCACCGCGTGGTGGGTTTCGGCGGCGTGACGGCGGCCGTCGTGGAGGGGGGTGTTGAGGCGCTTGAGCACGCCGTTGCTGCTGTAAGAGAGGGGCTTTGCGGGGTAGATCCGGGTGGGAGGGGTCTCAGTCTCAGCTTCAGGGGTTTTGACAGTGGCGGCGGCGGCGGCGGCGGTGCAGCTGCTACTTATGTCCATGGCTGAGAAAACAGCCAAGAGTGGGGCTGCAAAATTGTTGTGGATGAATCTGGAGACAAGGGAAATATAGGGCCAAGGTTTCTTCAGAGGAGGAAGAGAGGCATCTTATCCATGGCCATGGGGGCAGAATGGGAGACAGAGGATATGAAGAAAGATGGAATGGGGTTTGTTTTGGAATTACGCCCTTTTTCTATTATTTATTCATCACCCAGAATTAAAGACGATGAAGATGACAAACTGGGGTGGTTAGATTAATGCAAATCGTTCATTTTTTGAGATTTTTTTAATTTTATTTTATCAGTTCTTGTATTCAATTTTTTTATAAGTTCTTGTTAAAGGGTATTATACTATTATTATGAATTAATTAAAACTATGCATACGAAAGTGTAATAAATGCATATTTCCGTCTCTGGGTAAACTTGTGCCTGCAGCAGGCGGCAGATGGGAGCGGACCCCACCTCACTTGTGGTGTCTTCTGTCATGGGCGTCATAATTACATAATTTACTCAACTTAGGGGTTGCTTATTTTCTAAAATATTAAGCGCTCTTCCTATTTTCAAAATGTAGATGTCTATTATTATGATGGGTAAATAAGGATTGGGATCCTCTGCCGCACGGCAGAGTGCCTTGCGGCAGGGAGGCCGTCGGATGGGAAAAGTGTAGCCTCGAGATACGGACCTCAAAATCTCTTACCGTTGAAATATTGATCGGACGACTCTCGAAGGCCGGGCAGAGTACCTTACTCGGAAGTAAGGCAGAGAAATCGGATCCGGTAAATAAGTCATTTTTGGGATATGAATTTGTAGGGGCGGGCCGATATGGTACCGGACCGAATAACGGGATTCAAAACGGTTATCAAAATTTTTGTCCCGAACCGGACCGTTAGGGGAGAGCAAACCTGACCCTACCCGATTGACCCGATCGGATATATCCGATTTTATTTTTTGGGTCGGATAACCCGTCCCGAATGACCCAAACCCGATCCGATTTTTGCAACCCGAGAGTTAAGCGGGTAGCGGGTAGGGTTACCAATTATGCTACCCGACCCGCCCGAAAACCCGAACTAGGGTAGTATATATACTACTTTGAATTATTATGCATGTTCAAATATCTCAACTATTGTATGACAATAACCAAATTATGCATAATCAAATATTCCAATTGCCGTATTTGTAAAACTATAACTTTGAATGTTGTATTGTTATGATTTTGAATGATAATTTGACCAATTATCATTTTATTTATCACAATATCAAATATGCCAATCACCGTATATTATTATTTTACATGTTCAAATATGTCGATTACCGTATTTATACAACTATTACTTTGAATGTTATACTAGTATAACTTTGAATGATATTTTTACCAATTACCATTTTATTTATCACAATTTCAACAATAATAAATTAAAATCTGAATGGACCCGAAAACCGAACCAACCCGACCGAAACCCGAACTTCTTCAACCCGAAAAACCCGATAAATTTTTTGATCGGGTAGGGTTTGAAATTATCAATCCGATACCCGAACGGGTTTACCATTTTTGAACCCGACCCGCCCGAACCCGACCCGTGCTCTGCCATAAAATGAGAACCGATACCGGACCGAACCGGACCGAATTATGATTTATATAATTAATAATTTATAATTACTGTACATGTATACCATTTGATGACTCCTTCCGGTTTGCACTTTGCCACTTTGTGTACATTTATAAATTATAATACTTGCTAGTTCGTTGTATGCTGCCTGCAGGGGAAGCATACGGTGAAGCCCAACCCAATTTGTCTTACTTTTTACTCCGTATTTATTATAGGTATAGATTTAACATGTTTAGCCCATCTAAACATATACTATCCTCCATTCCATAATTCTTGCAACAGTTTGATTTTCACGTTTGCCAATGCACAACTTTGACTGTAATTATATTTAATTATGTATTAGTAAACATTATAAAAAGTTGATATTTTGGAAATTCACATTGATAAGAGTTCAATAACATTTTATACGTAATAATTTGATAATGTATATTAGTAGAAAATCATGGTCAAAGTAAGATTTGTGAATAGTGTAAAAATCACAATGTTGCAAGAATTATGGAACGGAGGAAGTATTGAAGATCATTTGTCATACAGTAAGTATGAAGGCACTTTACTTTTTAAATAGTTAATACCTTTAATTTATTTTATGTGTTCTTTTTTAAAACATTGTGGTGCATGTATTTCCAGGAGGCCTGATGTGTATGAGTGGAAAGTGAAACTTTGGATATCATCAGTTCCAGTCTGGAGAAGCCAATGGTGCTTGAAGAGTTGTGGCCGTGAACGTTTTGTGATATATGTTTTGTATTACTGTAGTTTATTTGAAATTTATTAATTACGTAATTTTAAAATTGATAAATTGTGTGGATTTTTAGATTATGACTAAACTTTATTTTGTCGAAAAAAGTGGCATTGTTTGGTATTGGTATGTCATGGTACCGTACCGTTTGAAATTGGAACCGTACCGAACGGGTTTAGGTCTAAGACCGAACCGAACCGTTTAAATAGTAACGGTCCTGGCACGGGTTTGGTCAAATACCAGACCGGACTGCGCTCACCCCTATGAATTCGTTTAGTTCGTATTTCGACAGCCACTTTACTAACATTATTCTTTTAGGGTATGAATTTGTTTAATTAGTTCGTATTTTGAGAGCTAGTTTACAAACATTTTTGGGGTATGATTTGGTTGAATATGTTAAAATTAATGAAGTTCTTCTGCAACGGTAAAATTTTCTGAATCCGTTCAATTATGAAAAAGTTATATTTAAAATATTATGTGTATTTTATTATGAAAATAAAAGGATAAAAATAATTATATGAAAATTGTTAAAATATTAAAAATGTCTTTATAGTAACTACAACAAATTCAGAAAGTAATTACAATTTTCCTTATTTTGATTATCATACAATTCAAAGCGAATAATTAAGGGTTACATGTTTGGTGAAAAGCTTAAAAATATGAAGACCAAATCGGCTCGTAGGATGTTTTTGCTTGGCCTGTTAATTGTCTGACCTCTGATTATTTTATAATTATAATTTTAGTCTGAAAACAATCCAAGTAAAAGCATTCGCAGTCTTTATCAATCATTTTTTGTGATACGCGTAGTATTAAACTGTTGATTAGGGGTGGGCAATTCGGTTTACTATTTGGTTTTTTCGGTTTGGTTGGTTTCGGTTTATTCGGTTTGGGAGAATTTGGAAGTGTTTGGCAAATGGCTGTTAAATGTTGGCTGTTGGCTGATTGTGTTGGCTGATTGATGACAACGGATTTTGTTGGCTGTTTTGATTAGCTGATAGTATTAGCAGTTTGTAAATTGGTGTTTGGTTAAATAGCGGTTTACAATCGGCTGATAACTTTCCAAATGACTTTTAAGGATGTCAAATAATTTTTTGTTAATGTTATGTAAAATTTGTCAAAAGCTGTGTAACAAAAATGAAAATTGTACGAAGTCTTTATGTAATCACAATCAAAATAATAATCATCAAAATTCCTGAATTGTCTATAAAATAAAATAAGAAACTGATTAAATAAGTTAACTAATTAAAGAGACTACCTTGGAACATACAATTACGGCTTACTTATTCAACTGAAAGGTGCAAATAGGCTCATGTACTAACCAAAAAAGGTCAAATAAGCCCTTATTTAGGAGGTTCTGTCCGGCCGTCGTCATTTAGGGTGGTTCCCAGTGTATTTTTTTGATGAAATTTTTTGAGCATATTATTCATCAAGTCTAGTTTACTCATATCAAATTTCAGCTAAAAATTCAATCGGGAAGGCATTCAAATGAATTCTTGAAGATAACTACACTTCTAAGTGTGCAGTTATTTTCAAGAATTCATTTGAATGTCCTCCCGATTAAAGTTTTAGCTGAAATTTTGTATGAGTAAACTAGACTTAATGAATAAGATACTCAAAAAATTTATTCAAAAAATTCCATCGAGAAGCAACCCAAATGGCGATGGCCGGACAGAGCCTCCTAAATAAGTGCTTATTTGACCTTTTTTTGTTAGTACATGGGCCTATTTGCACCTTTTCTCTTTTTTTGCCGAAGGGTTGAAGTGACGAGTATGAAGCAGATGGGGGTACCGTGGGTATAAGAGGGATATCAGTTAAATATTCAAACAGCCAAGACCTAAATGCCACTTTTATTGGCGTTTTGAATTTTGGCTGTTTGGAATAAAAAACCAAGTTAAAAAGCCAATGAACCAAACACCCTATTAGCTAATTAATTTGGTCAAAACGCCAAATACTGGTCAAATCAGCCAAAACATGGCTGATAGGCTCCTAACCAAACACCACCTTTGTACCAAATTAAAATCATTTGTGTTTCGGTTTGCTTCTGGTTCAGTTTCAATTCGGTTTGAAGTTCGGTTTACCAAAGTGGAAAATTATTAGGTTCAATATAGTTCGATTTGATTCAATTTCTTATGTTTATTATTTTATTTGATCAAGCTCTATATTTAAGAATTAGAAATGAAAGTAGTAGTTCATCTCATCTTCTTTTATTTATTATTTAAATAAAATGTAAAGGGGAATAAAATATAGAAAAAGAAATAATAAAATATTACTACCTATAAACTAAATCTTATAACATCTTTTTTATCACTAGAAAAAAGATTTACTTTTCTCAAAAAATAAATTTATGGTTGATTAGCATTTATAATATCACATAAAATATTCAAAGAAAACTAAATGAGTTAGTGGTACAAATGTTGTATGACTCAAAAAAAATATAAATGCAATTTGCTATTGTTATCGTGAAATATCTTTTCATACAGGTAGAGTACCAAACATAACAAATACAAATGTGTCATATTAGCTAACTTTGTCATAATGAATGTGAGAAATGTGTAAAAGTTAAAATGATTTATGCTAAATTTGTATTTTTCATGTTCTAAATTATTTATATATATCCTAAAGATGAAGTGGATAGAAAAGTACAAAGTGTGTGTGTGTGTGTGTATGTGCGCTCGCGCTTTATGGTTGCAAGTTAACGAAGATTATTATATTATTCCTATGCTTAACGTCCTGGATCAATTACGATAAAACTCACTTAAACTGGCTATTGATTTGTTAATGACTGGAATCGGAACTTTGCCAATGAATTTCAAAATAATCAATGTTTGCAATCATGGATACCATTGTTGTTACTC